TAGTTTCAGCAAATTTCTTATTCTCATTCCTTCTATTAGCTTTCCAGCAACAAGCCTTTAGATGCCTTGATTCGCTATTTCCTCCAATGAATTTTAGCAATAGCAAATATATGCAAATATGTACTCTTCCAAACATGGTATTATGCTGTCTCAAGATACATCTTTACACTCCAGTTTTCTGCAAGCAACAAGTCTACAAATCACCAAGTCAATCCTCTTCTCAAAGATCTAAACCACTCTATGTAAAAAAATCAATCTATCTTCTACATGACGCTCTTGCCTTCCTATCTGAATCTCCCTGATTTGGAAAATTTCTGATTCTTCAACCATTGCTTCACTTTTATTCCTCGATGAAACATGCTATTATACACTAGGTTTGCCAAAAGTATGGGTCTTTAATCAACTGTTAACTTCTCAAAACTCATAGCCACCTCCGTAACAATGAAAATCCTCATTGCATAATTTTGTTGCAAGACTTCTAGTTTGGAAGTAGCTTTGAGCTACTTAGAAATTACAAATTACTCATAATTTCACTTACACTTTTAGAAATTACAAATTCAACATATTAAATCATAAACATTTAAAAACAATCATAATTCAGTCTACAAAAAAAATTTGATCACGTGTGGACGCACAGATTAGAATCTAGTTGTACTAGAAAATTCTATCATGCAAAATTCAATAAACCTTTGTTGGTATTGGCCCCCTAAGGTGATTGTGTGACAAATTCCCACAAGCAAACACAAGGAATGAAGTTAAATGATGTAGTTCACAAGAAATTGAGTTAATTTTACTTACCAGGTAGTCAGATTAGTGAGTAGTATAATCTCTTTGCTGAAGAATCATGTCAAACATTGGTTTGCAAGGTAACTGAAAGAGATTAAACAACAATTATATATGAATTTACTAGCTACAATTATGCACCTACAATGTCTCACTCACATTTCGGATATAACTAGGAAAGCTCCTAGTGGGTATGGCTTGCATTTCAGTCCTTCTCAGCTACTAGAAAGGCAGAGACCTCGTTCCAATGAATTATGTCCGAAGTTCTAAGTGAATCTTTCAGTGCCTCCATAACTATCACTGAAAAAAAAAAACAACCAACCGAAATAATTAACAGTTTGCAAAAAATACCCAACATAACATTGTCTTGGTAGTGCAGAAGCTTCTTAATTTAAGGTACCTTGTTCAGGTTAAGTGGCCATATCCATAGGGGATTGGCACAGTTCTCAGGTCCAGTACAAAAACACAAAGGGAAAACAAAGCAGAATGGGTGAGTGAAAATGAAAAAATAGAGACTGTAAATGGCGATCAATCTCTCTATTTCACTTATGAGACTATAAACACAAATAAGGAGTGACTGAGACTATAAACGCAAATTGTAGCAGTGAGACTATAAACTTCTCATCTCATATTCAATCCAAAAAGGATGTGCATATAATCCACTTGTGCAATTTTAGAATTTCATCTAACCTCACCTTAACCATGCTGCTAACACCAAAACAATAGTGTGCACCTTCTTTGTATCACTACTATCAATACTATGTTGCAAGCTCTCCTTCCTATCCATAGGACCCAGTTTTTACATGTATTAGTGAAGTCTATTAGTGAAGTCTTTCTCTTGTGAATTTATTTCCATAGTTTCAGCAAATTTCTTCTTCTCATTCCCTCCATTAGCTTTCCAGCAACAAGTCTTTAGATGCCTTGATTCGCTATTTCCTCCAATGAATTTTAGCAATAGCAAATATATGAAAATATGTACTCTTCCAAACATGGTATTATGCTGTCTCAAGATACATCTTTACACTCCAGTTTTCTGCAAGCAACAAGCCTACAAATTACCAAGTCAATCCTCTTCTCAAAGATCCAAACCACTCTATGTAAAAAAATCAAACTATCTTTTACATGACGCTCTTGCCTTCCTATCTGAATCTCCCTGATTTGGAAAATTTCTGATTCTTCAACCATTGGTTCACTCTTATTCCTCGATGAAACATGCTATTATACACCTGATTTGCCAAAAGTATGGGCCTTAAACCACCTGTTAACTTCGCAAAACTCGCAGCCACCTCCGTAACAATGAAAATCCTCATTACATAATTTTGTTGCAAGACTTATAGTTTGGAAGTAGCTTTGAGCACTAGTTTCAAGCACTTTCTCTTTCTCCTCCTACTTTCCTTCTATTGCAAACACCAGTTATTGGAATACCCATAATTATCCAAAACATCATCTCTTTTGATCCTGAGAACTATGAAGTTTGAATATCGGATCTCTTCTCATGAACATCCAAACTTAACCTCAAATCTTTGTATCTTTTCTATTGAATCTGTAAACAAAAAACAAACTGAATTCAAAGGATATATTAAGTAAGCATATATGAACAAAACCCTCTCTCATAGTTCCGAATCACTCCTGACGGTCTCAACACCTCAAGACTCGTAGTCTCTCTCACTAATAAAACCCTTCAATTCAATTCAATTCGAGTTTTTGCTGCCTGTTACCAATCATGCCTCCACGTCAGCACTCTCTGACTTCTTCTTGTGCTTGACCAAAGTATAAATACCCTCCCTTTTTAGAAAATCTTTTCCCAAGCTTGAATTGTGAAAAACGCTTAGAAAAATCTTTAGCAAGCTCCCAGATGTGTTCAGTAGTAAGCAGTCCTTTCCACAATTCCATTGCAGTAAGACAGCCAAACCGCTTCTCTTATAAAAGCTAGTAGCCACAACATCATCTTGCTCTAAAGTTACAGAATCATCAATCGTGAGGCTGCAAATTTTCACATCGTTTGCTCTGCTTTGCAATCGAGTTTCATGCTTATTGGACTAAAGTGAGGAATATAAAACTTTCTCTAAAGCAACCACCTGATCCCCAATTGAATTTTCAACCAATGTGATGAAAGACCATGTTAGCATTTTCAAAGAAGTTTTGGGTCTGGTTTGGGCCTTCTCAATGCGCTTCCAACTCACCTGATACAATTAGAGTAACAACGTAAAAGCTCTTTGCTTGCAACTCCAACTATCCAAAGACACCATTGTGGCATGTCTTGGTTCTCCATTGGTGCCTTATCGTAGAGGAGTGATTTCAGCTGTTCACACCATATAGCTAAGGACATCAACTGAATGTTCATTCCTTGCGCTTTGTACTTGAACATATGAGACTTATAAAAATGAAAGTGACATTCCTATACTTCCCAATATGGATTCACTATCACTACAGACCCTATGCTTTGCAATATGTATTGCAGCTGTTTTGGCAAAACCAGCCTACTCGAACAATAATCTCTCTTTTCCCCCAATAGAATTGACCATGTGATAGTAGTCTAACAACATGACCCTTAGCTGAATATGCCAAAACCAAAGTGAAAGATGGTCCTTCCTCAAAGCAACTAAAAGCAATTGCAGAAAAGTGATGAACACAACACTGTCCCCACATAAAGCCATATCTGAGAGTGGTATACTGGCTTAGATCTCCATTTGTGCTTCACTTTGAACTTCTCATCACCAAAGATAAACTCCTGAAAGTTTCATGAATGCTGCCACCATATTCTCACACTACATAAAAATGAGTTATTGTGACTTAATTTTGATACAGAATTTATTTGTCACAAATTTGTAACATTTTAGATGCCAAAATGTATATCACAATTGAGTACCTATTTTGTGACAATATTGTATTGTTCTAATTCGTACCCAATTTCTATCGCAGTTAAAACTATGACAAAGATAGCAATCATAACAAGTATGACAATATTATGACCTTATGTATTGTCACAACTTTGTTAAAAATTTGTGAAGGAATGTATAGTCCCAATTTTATGAAAATACAATGACTAAATGCTAGTTACAAATTGGTATGACTTCGTAATCAATTGCAATCGAATGGTATAACAAATTTGTTGCATTTCTCGACTGATTTATTGGCGATTTAGTCACAATTGTTCATGCAATAGCTACCAAACTATTCAATTGAAATTCACGGAATTCAAGGACAAAAGATCAGTTTTCATATTCATTTTTCTACTCACTTTCAAATTGAATATTTTGAATCCTAAAGAGCTTAAGAAGAGTAAGTTTCCAATTCACCTAATATATATTTGAGTGTTATATACTTTTTTTTTTTTTAATATACTTATATCATATACTATATTTTATTATATTCCAATTCGTTTTTTTTACGTATGTGGCTTGTTTATTGACTAATTTTTGCAGTTATGGTCCAATAAGATAGTACGCTGAGCAATGTAGGGAAGACAGTGGATATATGACAGAAATTGGTTTGGCAACTAAGTTGTTGCATTCGTTGGCCTGATCATGTGCTACAGTAGTCACTATTGCATAATACTGATATATGTGATCTTGAGACAATAATGTGATCCAGGGGTGACATGGTTTGAAATCAGGTCAAAGGTTGTTTTAGTTCAGATTATTTCTCTCGAAAAAGAATTGAAGGCATTTGGGCTTAAAATTCAGAAAAGGAAAGTACAAGGACGCTCAGTAGTGTAGATCATTGAGCTTATAGGAATTAGAAGGAAAAAGTTAGAAAATGAGATTCACGAAGTTGGAGGAGCAAACAAAAATATTAACCAAACCAAAGCTTAGTGCTAATATAAAGTAACGATGCACTCAAAATATTATTGAAAAGAAAATTTATCGTTTTGGTAAAAATAAGATTTGATGAAGTGCAGCAAAACGCCCGGTAAAAAACAATAAAATTTTGGGTTGTGACCAAACCAAAAACAAAAACACCACACTTATACCTTAAAATTCACCTAATATATACATATATATATATAAGTCTATTTTTCTTGACTCTTACTCTCCCTTTAATTTTTTTTCTAGGTTAGCTTGACAAAAACAAGAAGCTAGATATTTTAGAAGTGTTTTCTAATGCAAACAAAAACCTTAGGATGGGAGTCAAGTTATTAGAAACTTAGCAGCAACCCTACTGTTCTCAATCCTCCCTACAAATAAGGCACTTGAACCTTCATCTTCCTCAAACTAGCTACACACACCTCAAGAAATAAATCATCATCAGCCTCATACGTACATCAAACACAATGGCCTCCACGGACGCAACTTATAACCGCCCAACACCAAATCCAGACCATGACACGACTGTCGTAGTAGTTGTCTTTGTCTCTCTAGGCTGCGTCATGTTCCTGGCATTTCTTGCATTTGTCATTTGGTTTCTCATTAAGAAGAAATCCAAGAAGAACAGTCAGAAAAGTGAGGCCGTTCGTATCGATGAGCACTTTAAGATGAAGGAATCTATAGTTGAGGGACCTCATGGACCGGAGGCTGTGGTGTTATCAGTTGAGGATGATGTTCATATCGAAGACTTGGTCAAGAAAGGTGAGAAGGAAGTGGGGAAGGACGGTCCAGTTAGATCATCTCACTTTACCCGTTCGTAGATGAGCAGTCATTCATAAAATTGCCTGTATACTCTAATTGTGTTTGTGTGTATTATCATTTGTTTGGTGAAATAAATAAAGCATCCAAAATATTTAATGTATATTCTTTGGACGATGATGGTTCGTCAAACTTGGGTTGGTGAATCGTGATACGTACGCGTTTATGGGTAACTTAAGCGAACCAAGAAAAAAAAATTTCATCTCCGAAGAAATTACCTAAAAGCTCATGATTAATTTAATTTCATCATTACAATATATATATATATATATATATAACCTTGCAAAAACACTGCAAGAATTTTTTTTAATAGATAAAATAACTCCAGGTAATCGATGTTATATGACATCCTCTGTAAATTAATTGACAAATAAAGTATAAATTTTTTTAGTTTGTGAACTATTACATATAAACTAATAGATCCCGAAATAACATGTTACAGAAAATTTTAAAAAATAAACTATTTTTTTTTTTTGAAAATATGTTAAATTATATTCAAAAAAAAAACTGTTTTCTTTACATAACCTTGCTTAAAGAAAGTAAAGAAATATGGTCAACAGCTAAAGAAACAGAAAATAGAAACAGAATTTTTTCGCTACAGTTTAGTTATCCTTTGAATTCAAACCAGAGTTACAAACCCTCAATCATATCGGTAATCGCCAGCAAGCCTTAACGAGCTGAGTCGATTACGCATCATCTTGTCCAGTGTCGGTATTAAACTCTGTGCCAGCTGCGGAGTGTCCCCATGCCTGCGCCCATTCCTTTCTCGCCAAATCAAAGTAAGAGTAATTTGGAAAAATATCTCACCAAAAAGAGACGAACTCTATCCAAGCTATTCGAAGATAGCAGAGTAACTATCTCGTCCCAGACATTCGTATAACGATGACCCAACAATCTTCTAGTTAGATTCTTCCATACTTGTTCCGAGTAAGTGCATGTAAAGAACATATGTGCTCTGTTTTCTGTCGGAGCAGAGCAAAAAACACAGGATATTGATATACCTGTTTCCCATTGTGCCATTATCTCACCAGTTGACAGGCGATTCCACATCGCTAACCAAGTGATGAAAGCAAATTTTGGAGTATTTTTTGAAAACCAAACCATCGAGACCCAATCTTTTGGAGGTGGCGGGGGGGGGGGGGGGGGGGGGGGGTACCTGATGTTGTACCAAGTTTGCCTCGAAATGAATCTGTTGCGAAACTGGTCGCTTTTTCCTTTCCAAAAATATTGGTCCTCCATTGTATTTCTTCGTATCGCAACCGAGGATAGAGCATCTTCAATTAGATTCAGCTCGTCTCGTCGGTGACGTCGTCGTCTGTGAGAGCTGATGGCATATGCAACAGTTGCATAGGATGTTAATCAGCGGCCCTTGTGAGCACCATTCATCATACCAGAATGATGTTTTTTCTCCGTTATTAATCTTAACGCGATGAAGACCCCGAGCCAGGTCCCGCATCTTAAGTAAACGATGCCATATCCAGGAACCCTGTATAGATCTCTCATTCAGTGACCAGAACATTTCCCGCGAAGAAGATACACCCTGATCCACGATGCCCATAGCGAGTTTTTGCTCGATAGGATACGCCAAATAATCCGTAGACAGCATACTGTGTTTGCTTCTCTTAGCGATCGTAATCCCAAACCTCCCTCCGATTTCTTTTTGCAAACAAATTCTAATTTTTTAGCTATGTTAGATAACTGCCAAATTCTAATTTTTTGTTACTTTTTCGCAAAAGTTCTAGAAAAAGGCGATTTCGAAGTGATTTTCGTGAAGTCGATCAAAATTTCCATATTTCTGGATCAAATTTCCTATCAAATCTTCTCTACATCTTCATCAACATGTCAAGGGAACCATTAGAAATCCAGAAGGAGCTCTAGCAAGCTCTGTAGGGACTTAAAATCGGAGCTGATCAAGAGGCTTGGTCGGTTCATCAGGATGCACAGATCGAGTTTCAGAGAGATCATCGCCTGTGTTTTGTAGCTAAAGGAATTAATCCCGATCATCAGAATCAGGCAAGAATCAAGTCATCGATGCCAAACGCATGGAGCTTAATTGGTCAGGTGGAAGCTCAGGTTAACGATGATGACACCGTCAATTTCTATTTCAAAAAGGAGCATCATCTGATGACTGTTTTAGAAGGAGGCCCATACAAATACATAGGATGGATGATTGTTTTGGATCGATGGAGTAACATGAGGTATCCTTCCTTTCTCCGATATATTCCATTTTGGATCAAGATTAATAAGCTTCACGCCATGTATCAGAAAATAGGTATTGTCAATAGTATCGGCTCTAAACTTGGACACGTAGATGAAGTTCTTATCACCGAGCAGATAAAAACCCATCTTCCTGAAGTCTGGGTTAAAGTCGACTTTGATGTTGACTCTACCATCACTCTGGCTCGAAGTGTTGAAATCATGCCCAATACACCACCAGTGGAGCTAGAGTTCAAAAACACGGGTCTTCAAAAATTATGTACTACATGTGGTAGTTTTAAGCATGGGTATGAAGTTTGTCCAAAAGGTTTATCTCTGCCCCCACAAATTGGCTAGTTGATGATGATAGGGAACAGTCATTCTACCACTGCAGCTAATCGGCTCCAAGCTATACAAGGTTTAAATACTTTTCTGCAAACTGGTGAAACCTTTGGGGCTCTGAACTTGTGAGAACTTGGCTTATATTTTGTGAGTGTTGAGAACTCAGCTTATGGTGCGAATCTGAGGTGTTCGGCTTAATTTTTATGAGTTATAGGAACTCGGCTTGATACCCAAGTGAGCTCTTTCGTGCTGGAAGGGCGGAGTTCGTTAGGAACATTTCCTTGTAAAAAAATGATAAAGACTCAAGGTTTCTAAGTCGAACTGAAGTGTGTGATATGGGCTCGGCTTATTGTTCTTGATGTCTTAGGAATATTTAAGTGCGGAACTGATCCCGGATTTTGAAGATGTGATTTATTTCACCACGACACCATGAGGATGTTTGCGAGACGGATAACGGTTTTTCAGGTTGCATTGTTGAGAAATGCTATCGAATGTCTGGTCAGGACATTGATGTAAATACCAATAAGTTCGGTCGTGACTGCAAACATAGGAGTTCGGCTTAAAAAGACTTCAAATTTTTTTACCATAGCTGAACTCTTGATGAGCTGCCTATGTAACCTCCGTGGAGGGATCAAACCATTTGTAGTTCATTGTACATCCTTTTTGAGCTAGTAGAGCTCAGGAGTGTTTTTTTTTTTTTATCGAAACTATTGATCTAATAATACTTCTTAAGATTCATCGAGTTCCATCTTCATAAGTTGGAAAAAGAACATCGTCGAGCAAGATTTTTCCTTTTCTAAAATTTTCAAGCAGGTAGTGTTTCAGATGTCGGCATTCTTCAATGCTATGTCCTTTTCGGTTGTGAAATTCGTAAAATAGTGTTTCGTGGAGGACGTCATCGTTTCGAACCCACTTGTTGTTCTGAGGTCATTCTTGCTAGGCCGAGTTGATATTGTTATTGACAAAGTTTTGTCGATTGTTGAATCCTCTCTTGTAGGTTGGACTTAGTTTCAGTGTTATCGCTTTTACGTCTTTCTTTTGTGTTGACAACTGAAATGTCTGCTTTGTTGATCATATGTGGCCTCTTCTTCTTCTTCCGCAATGTACGAGTCAGATCGGTGTAGTGTGTCTTCGAGGGTTAGAGGTGTATTATGCTTGATCGCTCTTTGTAAGGACAACTTTATCCGAGTTGCTTTATGCAGACATTCTACTGCTGCCTCGTTGCTAACTATACAGTCACATACGACCGATTTGAAACGCTTTATGAAGTTTCGGTGACTTTCGTTTTCACCTTGCGATATTCGCCATAGTTCGGCATTCCTCGTCTTCTACGTACCCGATGAACATTGAAAATTTTTTTACCAATGCCGTAGAGAGTTTGGTGTAGCTGTTGATAGAGTTCCCTTCAAGTCGAGGGAACCAGTCGAGGGCAGCTCCCTCAAGATTCTCGAGGAACAACTGGCATTTTGTTGTGTCTATTTCCTCTATTTTCTGGAATTGATAGCGATTCATGACGATGCCGAAAGAGGTCATAAAGTGTTTCTGGTTGGAATCTCCTTCGTAAGCTTTGAGCTTTAACTTTTCAAGATGCCTAATTGGAGTGTTAGTGATTCTAGTAGTGAAAGGCGTCTTTTGCGTCTCCTGGATAACGTGATCACTCTCTGGAGCAGTGCTAGTTTCTTTGTGAATCTGCGAGGTGATTTCGCAAAGTTTGGCCTTCATAGCTTCGAATTATTTCTCACGAGTGAAGATTGTATGAGTGACTGGATTGACGGTACATCCCAAGGATGTAGATCGCACAGTTCCAGATGGGTTTCTTTCCAAGTTGAGGTTGGCAATTAGGTTACGTCTTCGAAATGGAGTATGCGTTTGACTGAGTTTGGCAATTTTGGCCGCCATGAGGTCTCTTGGAACTGAGCTGTTATCGCCTGAAGAAAGGCGTTTTGGTTGAATTGTCATGTAACCGCGGGTGCAGGCGGTGGCAGTAACTCAGTGTTTTCTGAGTCAGTACTACCGCCCGGATTTTGTGTAATGGTTTCATCGAGGGGGGGGGGGGTCGTCCGACTTTTGCATAATGGTTTCATCGGAATTTCAGGGGGTGCCGTCCGGATTTATAACGGTGTTGTTGCCATTCCTTGTTCCTGAAGCAGTTAGGTCTGCCATTGCCAAACTTTCTCTTTTTACCGAGCTAGATTGAAAATATTACTATGATGCCCCACGGTGGACGCCAATTGTTGAAATGTAATATCACACAAGAGGTAAAACAGTAATATTCGAATCATAAATCTCGTTTTTTAGAAGATAGTTTGGAAAATTCAACTTGAGATTAAGTCGTCGGAGTTTGACGACCTTCTTAACAAAAGGAGAACTCGAAGTAAATTGACGATCTCAAAACTCACTTCTAAGGTCTCTTTTCGCTCTCGATTTGCAGATGTCTCTGATTAATGAAATCCTCCTCTATTTTTACGATTTCTAAGACGGTTTGATCAGGATTTTTCTTTTCCCTCTCGATGTGGGACTTAATATTTTCCTTTGATATTTCCAGAAATCTTTCATGAAATTCAGAGATCGGCCTTTTTTGCAAAATTGGGCTTTAATGGGCTTTCTTAAAGGACTTAGGTTGGTCCACCTGATTCAACCTCGATACCAATCGTCGTAAACCGAGGTCTCTCCGAAAAGGTCTCGATTCATATTGGGTTAAACGGAGGGTGCAAAGTATACCACCAACAATAGATCCTCGAAAATGGCCCATTTGATACCATGTCATATGACCGACGATGCATCAAACATATCTGATTTATTCTTTAGGGAAATTGTTTGTTTGCATGGAATGCCTAGGACCATAGTCTCAGATATGAATGCAAATTTTCTCAGTTATTTTTGGAAGACCCTATGGTCTAAATTATGAACCAAGCTTTGTTTCTCTACGACTTGTCACCCCCAATCAAATGGTCAGACCGAGGTGGTCAATAAGACCTTGTCGACTCTTTTAAGATATGTGATTAAAAAGAACTTTAGGACTTGGGAAGATTGTTTACCCGATGTTGAATTCGCTTACAATCATGCGGTGCACTCTAGTACTTTGTTTTCACTATTTCACTTAGTCTATGGTTTTAACCCGCGTACACCTCTTGATCTAACTCCTTTACCCTTGAGTAAATGTGTAAGCATGGATGGAAAAAAGAAAGCTGATTTGGTCAGGCAGATGCACAAGAAGGATAAGCAGAACATTGAACACAAGACGGAGCAGTTCCAGAAATATGCCAACAAAGGTCAGAGCAAGAAAGTCTTTGAACCAGGTGACCTTGTTTGGATTTATCTCAGGAAGGAACGATTTCCAGAGGAAATAAAGTCCAAATTTCTGCCTAAAGTGGACGGACCCTTTACCATTTTGGAGAAGATCAACGATAACGCCTACAAGATTGTTCTCCAAGATAAGTACTCTGTTAGTTCCAATTTTAATGTTGCGGACCTTATTCATTTTGTTCTAGATGGACCAGACTTGATGACAAGTCCTTTTCAAAAGGAAGGGGATGATGTGATCTTGGAACCAGAGGCCGAAGACGAGGTTCTGAAAGCAGTCTTGGTGATACCGTAAGGGCCAATGACGCAGTCAAAGACTCAAAAGCTGGAAAGAGTTGTGCGGTCTATACTAGAGGGGATCCGGAATGTGGAGGTTCAGTCCCGGATCAACAAAGAGGAACTTACACCTTAACCTCAATCGCATACTTGGGTCTTATTGACGTCTGCCGCGGTGTAAACCATGATACTATCTTTCCTTACACTCGGTTATGTCCCAATGGGTTGTCCCGAGGAATGGGAGGGAGGGGTTTAATGAGGCTATGGTTTGCACACGCACTTGGCGATCACAGCAAGAAGCTCAAGGGTCGTACTCAGCTGGAATCTCAAAAGACAAGTCAAGGCAGCCAAGGATTCATTTCAATATCTTTTCATTTAGTCTTCGTTTATTTACTCACGCCTTAGCATCTCTCTCAGTGGATCAATCGGAGTCAAGAAATTATCAACCTCTACCGGATCAAGTGTGTGAAATTTTAAGAGAGTTTCTATCAGTACCTTCACCATTTCATATGGCAAGCCTTATCGTTTGCATTAGCAGTTAATGAGCATCTCACACAGACATTTACATGTGGATCAATGTTCTCCACGATGCAAGCACCCAGAAAAGACTATTAACCATGCAATTGTTCATGTGTTCACCAGCTTTGTAGTGTTTGGTGCTTTCAAATTAATCATCAGTTCCAGATAATTTTTCAGTAGGATTTGATGAATTTGGACTATCACTTTAGCCACTTTTAAAAACATTATGAATACCCATGGATTATGTGGTTCATTTGGAAAGCTGGAAATGATTAAAAACAAAAAAAATAATGGTATTGATCGTATACCTTTAGAGACAGTTGATATTGTCCAAAAGGAGGCATAGGTATGGCATGGCCTTCAATCAACAGCCCAGATGATATAACCTCAAAGAAACAAGTGTATGTAAACCCGGTGGAGTTGAATTATTCGTATTCCACGTGCTTTGTCGACAAATCATGGAAAAGGGGATGAACAAAACAAAGGTGTAGTCTAGGTTTTGGAACGACATATCTTTTAAGGTTGCAGAGTAGGTGTAGACAAGCTATGTGTGTCGAATTAGACAATCAAACTAGCGAACAGACATGGGACTTGGTTTCACCTATCGCATCGACAAACATTGTTGGTTGTAAGTGGGTATTTACAATTAAGAGACATGATGATGGTTCTATTGACAGGTTCAAAGCAAGAATTGTGCCTAAAGGCTTCAATCAACGTCTGGGCATTGATTACCATGAAACTTTTAGCCATATCATCAAACCAGCTATAATCAGACTAGTTCTCAGTGTCTCTGTCTCTACTAATTCGCCGATAAGACTGTTCGATGTGAACCACACTTTTTTCAATAAAAACTTCAAGGATAATCCTCACGCAGTTTGCAGGTTGAAGAAAGCAATTTACGGCTTGAAACAAGCCTCATGGGCTTGGTACAACGTAATACGAACCTTCTTGCTCCAATCTGGCTTCATGAATTCGTTAGCCAAATCCAGCATATTCATCTACAACAGAAACGGTGTTCTCATGTACATGTTTGTCTATGTCGATTACTTAATTCTCACTGGGAACAACCAACATCAATTCAGCATGTTCATCACTGCACTTTCCAAGCGATTCTCACTCAAAGACTTGGGAACTCTTTCTTACTTTCTCGGTATTGAAGCTCATGATTCTCCTAAAGGTCTTTTTCTAACCCAACATCGTTATATTGCAGATTTGCTACATAAAACCGAAATGGTGGAAAGCAAAACAGTACCAACACCAATGTGCCCAAACATAGAGCTTACACTCAATACCGGCATCCAAATGGAAGATCCAAAACAGTATTGAGTGACCATTGGCAGCCTTCAACACCTATCATTGACTGGTCCAGATATATTTTATGCAGTCAACAAGATGTCTCAGTTTATGCACAAACCAACTGATGATCATTGGAACGCAGTTAAACGGATACTACGTTATCTCTTAAGGACCCAATCACATGGCATATTCTTTCACAAAACCAACACACCTACTCTCCATGCTAATACGGACGCTGACTGGACTGGTAACAAAGATGACTATACATCCACTGGTGTTTATATAGTCTACTATGGTCAATATCCCTTTGCCTGGTCGTCGTCGAAGAAACAAACGGGTGTAGCTAGATCTTCAACAAAAGCAGAGTATCGTACTCTTACATCAGCGGCTTATGAGGTTTGTTGGGTCACGTCCCTACTATCGGAATTGGGAATCAAGCTGATAACAACACCACCAATCTACTGTGATAGTATCGGAGCCAATTATCTCGCCGCAAATCCGGTGTTCCACTCCAAAATGAAACACTTTGCCCTTGATTATCACTTTGTGCGTAATCTGGTTCAATCTGGGCAAGTACATGTTTCTTATATCACCTCCGTCGATTAATTAGCTGATGCGCTTACCAAGCCATTACCAATAATGCGGTTTCAAGATCTCTCGGTTAAGATCGGACTCGCCACCAGCCTTGAGGGGGCGTATCAGATATAAAAACAATATTTGTGTAATTACGCTTCATATCTCTCCATTTACTCTCTGTATATTTGCATTTCCTTCTTGTACATATCTTCCTCTGTATAAAGGTTCTTTTAGCCTCTGTCAATAGAATCACACAATTCCATAACTCAATACCCCTTACATGGAATTACATAATGTAATATGAGCCATAGCCAGTTTGGAGAAGAGGAGTCGCATTTTCTCATTATTTGTGACAGATTCTACATAGTTCTCTTAGTTATGGTATACAATCCAGATGCATGGTAAGTATTTTTCCAAATCAAGCAAGCTAGCAACAATATGATAATACTTTCGGGAGTTTGTCTTGTGTTATCGCTCCAGAGACAAAAACAAGAAACATGACTTGTAACAAAAAATGTGAGCTTTTAGTGACAATTTTTTTTATATCGGCAACTATATATGTTCCGTATTAGTTTAATAAATATATATATGTTGTGAAAACTTATAAACGTATTAATCACTGGAATGTATATATAGAGTACATAGGGAATCTAGGTTAAGTACAATGCCCTGATGGGCCTAATGGGCCGGTATAAGAGTCCATATATAATATGTGTTATAACACTCCCCCTTGGACGAGTGAACCGGGTCAGCTACTCAATCGGGATCTCGATAATGCGCTGGGGAATGTTGCCTCATTAAAACCTTACCAGGAAAAACCCAGTGGGACAAAACCATGGTGAAGGAAATTTACTAATGAATTTCTGTTTAGAAAATATTAAATATGGCTTCACAATATTTTTTAAGCCAATATTATTTTACATATTGAAAAATAAAAACATTTATGGTAGTTTTAAAAATCTCGGTAGAATATTAAAATTTATGATATTACCAATAATTATTTTAAAATAATAATAATAATATAATTTATTAAAGTAACTATATATGTTCCGTATTAGTTCAATAATACACATGCATTTGTGTCGAAAGAAAAAAAAGATTATGATCACACTTTTTTGGGAACAACTAATTTTATTTGAAAAAAATGGTTATAGCATATCTGCATAGTCTCCAAATTAATTTTATTGTTTTTATATCTTTTAAAAGTAAATTGTATTTTAGATATTAAAAAATAAAAAAAATATTTATGGTAGTTTTGAAAAATCTCCGTAAAATATTAAAATTTATAATACTACCAAATAATTTTTTAAAATAATAATAATAGTAATAATATAATTTTGTATACATAAGATATTTCTAAAATATTTAATATAAATCCTTTCATGGTTAAGCTTTAAACTTCTTTTAAGCTAACCTCTCAATAGTTAGAAAATTCAAATAGGATAGATTAAGCTCTTAAACAAAACCCACAGAATCCCAAACCAGTTTGCACCCCTTGTTTCACCCCACGGTTTGTCTAACAAATACTTACCAACAATCAAAGTACTATTATACCCTCATCGCTCGCCAATATTTAATCCAAACACTCCACAGTGGTCATTACTCACAACGAACTCAGAGTAAAGTCTTGTCTCCTCCACCATCCAGATGCAGACGCACAAGTCTCTTCCCTCCCACACCACCCAATGGGCCACACTAATGTCTCGATCCCACAAGCCGTCAAAAATATCGGCAGTGGCAGCACCAGTGAGACCGGCACTGAAACACCAGAACAAGATCCACTCAATGCCGCCGGAGAAAATTGAGATTTTCAAATCTTTAGACGGATGGGCCACCGATCAAATCTTGCCTCTTCTCAAACCCATCGACCAATGTTGGCAACCCGCTTCATTCTTACCCGACCCGGCCTTACCCTTCTCCGAATTCACCGACCAGGTACGTCGTCCATCTCAATTATTATACATCATGCAAAAACAGAAAATATAAGTAGAGAAAGCTTTTTATTTAATATTTTGGTTTTACTATTAACATTTATTTCAACACCAATTGAACTACAACTTAAGCAACTCATTTAGAAACTTAAAATCAAATCAAAAGAGCTCAAAACAAGACAGTTGACTCTGCAGATGAGATCTATGAGAGAGTAACGAGTACCAGGAAATCGGTTAAGCATGCACATCTTTTATAATTAAACTTATGATATTTATAATTATTAGTTTTTTTCGAGGAATGGGATCTATAATGTTTACAACCAAACAAATTCGTACATCTTTTACAAATAAATAAAACATGTTATATTATTGTATAATTATAGGTGTGTGAGCTAAGGGAAAGAACAGCGTCATTGCCAGACGAATACTTCGTGGTGTTGGTTGGAGACATGATAACAGAGGACGCCTTGCCAACTTACCAGACGATGATCAACACGCTCGATGGTGTAAGGGACGAGACTGGCGCGAGTCAGAGCGCGTGGGCCAAGTGGACACGCGCCTGGACGGCAGAGGAGAACCGTCATGGTGACTTGTTACGGACTTACTTGTACTTATCTGGTCGGGTAGATATGCTTATGGTCGAACGTACCGTCCAGCATCTCATCAGCTCCGGCATGGTCAGTATTAATTTATTTATTTTGGTTTTAAATTTTTAATCAGCTTTTTTATCTTAGTTTTCTTTTTTTTTGTAAACGCACTTACTATTCGGGGTTTAATTTATCCAAATATAGCTTTTTGATTTCTGTAATTGTAGATCATTTTTCATTGAGATGTAATCATGTTTATGGTTTGATATCAGTTTATTTCTTTTTCAGTTTCGGTTTTATCGGTATACAGTTAATTGACTCTAAAAACTTAGTTAGGTTTCTTTTTCAAGTTAGTTTGAAATAATTTTGGTTTGTTTTTATTTCACTCATTTCATTTTTAATAGCAAACTAGTATCTAAACCCGTGCGTCCGCAAGAGAATTTTTTGTTTTTTTACTTAATATAATTTGTATTTATTTTTTGTTTAGATATCAGTTTTTTTATTATTTATTTATTTTCTTAAATCAAAAATATTTATTTTTCAATTTTTCAAATATGAAAAAATAGTAAGAATGAGATGTGTTAAGTTTTTCATCATCCTGGTGTCGAGCTATTTTTTGCAGGACATTTTGTTATCATGTTTTATCTTTAAATAGTATAGATTTGTATATTAGTAGAATTAAAATATAAGTTAATTAAATATATTTCGATCTAATGCTAATTATAAATTTTGTTATTATGTGATTTTAATTATGTAAATTTAATTATGTGATTTTAATTATATGAATTTACATATAAATAATTTATATATCTATGAATTAGCTAATCAATCCGTTTAGTTGCCTTAAATCATTTTTAATATTTTACATGTTTTTAAAAACTAACTTGTATAAGAATGTAATTATAAATGCATAACTCTAACCTGTTCTATCATATTATTATAATATAAAAATATTTACTAATATTGAATTTAGGTCGATTTGATTACGATAAAATATAATAAGATATTCAAGTACCATTTGTGTTATTATAAAAAAAATATATCTATAAATTGGTTAATTTTTTCATTTAATTACCTCAAATTATCTTAATATCGTACATGGTTTAACAAACTAACTCGTATAGGACTTGAAGTATAATAATACATAACCTTAATCAGCTCCATCATATTATTGTAAAATATAAATATTTATTTATCTTAAATATTTGATATTTTAGACCGTTTAATTATGATAAAATAAAATAAGATATTCGTTTACTATTTGCGATATTATGAAAGTACAATTTAAATTTAAAATTTAAAATTAAATTTCTATTTAAAGAATTCTAAAGTAATTAAAATTATTACCTAAATTTTGTAATAAAATTTAATTATAATTTTTTTTTTGAATTTTAAATTAAACTAGATTCTAACCCCGTGCATCCGCACGAGAATATTTTTTATTGTTTAACGAATTTTGTAATATAATTTGTGTTTTTGAGTTTAGATATAATTTTTTTTATAAATATATTTTTTAATAAGCGAAAATATTGATTTTTGTGTTTAGATATATTTTTATAGTATTAAAATTAATTATGATTATAAAAATATAATTTTAACCTGTCCGCTAATATTAATTCAAAATGAACTATTATAAAAACATAATTCTAATTTTTTCGTTCATATTACCATATGATATAAATATTTGTTAAAAGTTTGAGATGTATTAATAATATTATTTCGCATTATAGTTTTCTAAAATTTAATCAACGAATGGAGTGTACAACTGGTTTTTCAAACCACATTATAGTGTATGCAATAATTTTTAATTTTTTATGTTTTGATTTTGTATGAAAAATATATTTTTGATATACATGTATAATTTAAAATTAGTGATATTAGTTACCAAAATATTTTTAACCCAGTTTTTTATATATATTTTTAGTTCTATGAATTTTAAAAAATATATTTTTAATATTTAAATATACATTTGAATTTTATCTATTATTTTATTATTAATTTGTAAATAAATCATAATCGTGAATATATTATAAACACAAGATAAATCTCATATCATTTACATCATTATAAATATTTTATATTTCAAATATGACCATTATTTTTCATATGTGAATTTTTTTTTTCGAAAATTCTAGATATTTTTGATAAAAATGTTTAATAGTATAGAAATTATTTAAATTAGAATCTTTAAATTAAATCTAAATTAATATCTGATTTATTATTTTTAATCAAATCAAATCAAATCTAAATTACCTATATTTAAAGAACTCTAAAAAAATTTAAATTAATAACTAATTTTCGAAATTAAATATAAATAATTATTAAAATTATTTTTAAACACCTAAAAAAATTAGGAGTGTTTGGAATCAAGTACTAAATGTGCTTCTGTTTTAATATAATAGATAATAGATTAGATTTTACCCCTTGCATCCGTACGAGAATTTTGTTTTAATCAAAATTTGTAATCTAATTTATGTTTTCTTTATAAATATAATTTTTGATAAGTGATATAAAAAAAATTTGTGTTTAGATATAATTTTTTTTTATTTTGTTTTCAGTATTATTATGACTATCATAATCATAAAAACATAATTTTAATCCAGTTATTTTATTAATCAAATAGTGACTGTTATTATAAAAATATATTTATAACTCGCTCATTTTATTAATCTGAAAAAGACCATGATTATGAAATCATAATTCTAACCCGTTCGTTTATATTAATTTTGAAATAATTTTTCCTTAATATTTTGATAACCTAACCCGCATAAGACCATAATTATAAAAAAAACTTAAATTGTCCTATCAAATTATTATATAATATTAATATTTATCTATTTTCAATATGTAAAATTTTAATCTGATAGAATGTGATTAAAAAATATAAGAAGATATTTGTTAATCATATATGTTATTCTGAAAATCTTATTTAAATTTCAAATGTTAAATTAAATCTAACCTATATTTAAGGAAGTCTATTTAAATTAATATCTATGGACTATTAGATATAACCTACATTAAAGGAAATTTTTAGTTATCTAAATTAATATCTAATTTTCGGAATTAAATTTATATATATAAAAAATATTTTTAAAAAAACTTTAGGAGTGTTTGGAAACAAACACTAAAATTGCTTCTGTTTTAATATAATAGATTTCATTTTTCAATAGATACTGAATCACAATCAAAACTATCTGTCGTTTGGTTTTGTCTCTATTCAGTATGGTATCATTTTTATTCGAGTTATGGTTTGAATTCGATTTGGACTAAGGAAATTTTTCATAAAAAAATATTTAATATATTCATGTGATATGATTATATATCTAATTTTGATAATTATGGTTTCGTCTCTAAGCTTGGTTTACTTACACAATAGTTTTTTTTTTCAGAAAATAGTACGAATGGATCATAAACATACAGTATTTCGATTTAAACATTTTGATTTGGATTTAAGTTTGGTTGATTAAGATTAGTTTAGTACTAAACGACAACGTTTTTGGCAATTGTATAGGATCCAGGAACAGAGAACAACCCCTACTTGGGTTTCGTCTACACATCATTCCAAGAGCGAGCCACTTTCGTGTCTCACGGCAACACCGCACGGCTCGCCAAAACCGCCGGAGATACTGTCCTCGCTCGAATCTGTGGCACCATTGCCGCAGATGAGAAGCGCCACGAGAACGCCTATGTTCGCATAGTCGAGAAGCTACTCGAAATCGACCCAAACGGCGCAATCTCCGCCGTTGCCGACATGATGCGGAAAAATATCACAATGCCGGCGCATTTGATGACAGACGGTCGAGACCCGGTGCTCTTCGAACATTTCTCCGCCGTGGCGCAACGGCTAGGAGTGTACACGGCGGAAGATTACGCGGACATTTTGGAGTTTTTGGTTGGACGGTGGGGATTGGAGAAGATAGAGGGATTGACGGCTGAGGGGCAGCGTGCACAGGAGTTTGTGTGTGGCTTGGCGCAGAGGATTAGACGTCTTCAAGAGCGTGCTGATGAGAGAGCTAAGAAGGTTAAGAAGTCCCATGAGGTTCGCTTCAGCTGGATCTTTGACAAGCAGATTAGTCTGTAAAATCTTGAAAAAAAAAAAATCCTTTGCTGAGACAATAAAAAGAGAAAAGTAAAAAACAATATATCCTTTTTTGGGACAAAAAAAGCACTTTTTTAGACTTTTAGACCTAGGATTTCAATTTTCAAGTTTTTAAAATAGTTATATATGTAGATTTTATAATTAATTTTTTTTATTCTCTAAATGGGATTTTCTTCGTTTCACAGAAAATGTGAAAACACATTTTCATACAAATGAAAAAAGTTACTATATTAAAACTCTACTATATCCCTAAAATACATATTGACTCATAATATTTGATCTCGTCTATTATTAAATTTAGATTTGAGCTATTTTACATGTTAAATCTATATATTTATTTGTGTAATGATTTGATTAGGTGTGAGTTCCACAAATAATTTCACAGCGTTTTGCTGACGTATTGTATTCTTAACGAGTTTCAGCTATAAAATAATTTTTTTGCCCTTCATTAACTATTCACAATCCTATGTGTCAATATCTTATTTGTTCTATTTTGCTGACATGCTAAGTTCACTTAAAACTGACCGATGTTGAGTTTATCGTACCATTTGGTACCATTCCTCTATTTATTTAGTTTACCATGTAAGTATAAACATTGTGGTGTTCTTTTTTCCATTGCTCGTGATCACCAAATTGGAATCTAAATGTTAGGTTTTGAATGATTGCATATTTTCAAGGTTAGATTATCATGGGAAGCAACAATATCCATTACAAAAAAATTACGTCAAAAACTCTATTATTTTTTTTTATCTGTGTGGGAATACGACAAGATAGAAAAAAAATAGAAGAAGAAGAATAAAAATGATCATTTTTTTTTCAATTCAAGATGTGTAATTCATAAAACTTCAGAAAATATCAGAAAATTTCATAATATTTGGAAAATTTTGGATAGTTTTAGATAATTTTTTAACAAAGATTCATTCTAAAGTGGGTAATTCAGATACCCTATCTCATTCATGCTACTTTCTTTTACTAATTTTGTAAAAAAAATTGAATAATATAAATATTCTCAAATGGAAAACTATTTGGGAATGATCAAGATGGAAAATTCCTGATAGATTTGAGTCATGACGGAAAACCTGTCCCATGATGTGGACATATACATCTCCATAACTTATATCAGAAGTCTTGATAATATAGGCAATGCCTGACCATTTTAGAATAATGTAGTATTTTTGGCAAGTTTTTTTCAATGATATAAGACAGTCTTTGGCCTCTATCTATTCACTTAATAGGGTAAAAATAGTTACATGTTTCAGTCTACAATTACCGAGAAAGGTAAATATCCATAGACTAGCAATAAAATCCATGGGGATGGGTGCACATTAAAATATTAATACAAAGCTGGAAATAACAATAACTAATTGCTGAAATTGGTGAGATTGAACTCATTTTCGAGCCTAATACTGGTGAGACTGATATCGATATTCTCAAAGATTATATTTGGACCTATCAATAGTAAGAGAAATTTACGGGAGATTATTAGACACAAAATTAATCACAAATTCTTTAAAAATAGAGTTATACTGAGTCCACAAAACTTGGATGTAGAGATGGTTAATGATTATATGGTATCACATTTCTCAGATGTTTTTTTTTTCTTATTTAGTGTGTTGCTATCAACTTCAGATGGATATCTCAAAAAATTTGGAAACATTTGAATAATTTGAGGGTAATTCAGGTACTCTTATTTCATTTTTGTTTCTTCAGTTACCTTTCCCATATCCATTTGAATCAAGTAAATTGTTTCATATACAAAATTATTTGAATAAGATTGGGATTGGGGCAGGAAATTTGAAATGGATATGAGTCAGGACCGGAAACCGTTCCGAAATAGATAGGCCTAGATAATGGTATCAAGATTTTTGATACAAAATATGCAGATGACATGGTCTACACCCATGAGTTCTTAAATAGGGTCAAAATTTTAAGTTTGCCTAACCATAGATTGTTTTTGAAACTTGGTGCTTCAGTTATGCTTTAATGAACATTGATTTGAAGGGTAGATTTTATAATGGTACTAGATTGATACTAACTCAATTGGTTAATCATGTTCTCGAGGTTACTATAATTACATAATAAAATTTAAAGCCAAGGAAAAATCTCAAAAAAAAAAACAAATTAGAGAATGTGGGGTTATAGGACAAGACTAATCTTCTCTCATGGATAATTTTAATTTTTGGTTTTTAGATTTACCTCGTAACTGAATAATATTTTTCAATACCCGAATAATTTGTTTCCATCCCAATTTCCAAAATGAACATGCTTAAACATACATAGGAAAAGATTAATTTGTTTCAAAATGGAACCACGCTTTTTGTTTGATATAAAGTTCATCTTTGCTTAACTATACATATTTTATAATTGTAAAAATATTTGTGCAATGCTTGATTCACATGATATGCGAGTCACATAGAACATATAAATTCTATTTGCAATTGTAGAAAGAGTAATTAGGGATATAATTATGGATTAGGTTTAGATAAAAAATATCAGTCAAAAATATAATCATCAAAAAACATTGATAGATGTTTTAAACAACGATAATGGACTTCAATTCAAATTTGGTTATGGTTGAAGATTGTATTAATAAATAGATCACACATATTATCTGTGATTGAATATCCATTTTAAATTTCTTATTCGGCGATATATTAAAAATTAAATCAATAAGAAGCAAAAAAATATATAAAAATACAATATTAAATAATTTTTAAAAAATTTGAACGTTTTATTTATTAGGTGTTTGTAGTTTTACATTGAAAAGCAAAAGCAACTCTTATTTTGAAACAATTAAAAATAATTCTAAGACTAAACTTAATTAAAAAGGAATGAATATTAATATTAAGCTTTCCAACATGCTTAGAAATTAGTAAAGTAAACAACCTTATCGGACAAAAAAAAGAGAGAAGAGAGAAACAGAAAAATCCCTAATTATCTATTTGCTTCATGCCCAAGTAACAATTGTTACATTGAAATTGGATCGATCGAAGGGAGCCGTATATTTAATAATACTGTCAAAACTCCTCCTAACCCATTATCAATCAAGCAGACCGACAAAATCATGTCGTTGATCATAAATTGAGTATCACAGTCTTCGATTCCAGATTCTATAAGGAAATAATAAAGTTTTTCTTTGTTCAGAGAGTTGTAACCTTCCTTGACGAATTCGTGCGCTGAGAAAGAGAATGAACTCCTTTTGATATCACACTCTTGCCCGGCTCGGATTATCTCTATCTCGACGTTGATCATCAAGTCTTTCGCATCTGGATGTTGCTCGAGGCGATGATCAATCTTGTAACTAAGAAGAGGGGATGGATTGTCCATCTTAGGTTTTTGCTGATATCTGAATTTCGGTGTGAGTGATGAGAGAGACCCTTAGGCTTTGGCTTCTTATTTATATAGTTGTGTGAAGATCGTTTCGTCTCTTTCTGTTTCCTTTTCTTTATGTTATATATTCCTTTTGTGAGTCTTGCCTTTTATTGATGACCCAAAAAAAAAATGTCTTGTCTTTTTAGGATTATACCTTTTTTGTCGTCATTATTCACTGTTCAATGATGACACAAGACTGAATAATAGAGGTATTTCTACCTTCTCAATGCTTTTCTCTCGTTGTCGTTGGGACTAATCTTCCGGGCCTGTTCTCGTGTCTGTGTTGTTTTTACCTTCTCGATGCATTTCCTCTTCATATTTTTAAATATAATGCCCAATGACTTCTTGCTCTGTTTCTTTTTCCAGAACACGAATTTTTTACTTTTTTTTTTCTTTTTTTGAATTTTTTACTTGATGCTCCTTCACCTGAATCTTGTCTTGTTGGTGGCTACTGGCTAAATTCGGGTCTCGTTCTCTTCTCTCTGTTTTTTCACCTTCTCAATGTCTATTTTACGTTTAAACTATATTAGAGTTCTCTTATCAACAAACCCATCATCACTAAGCCTTGATGATCACTTGCATTTACAACAAGTAAGTGATATATTCTGACGAGTTCCAAATGTATATAACTCAGATTGAAAAGAGAGGTACATTTGTGAAAGAAAAAAAAGAAAGAAAGAAAGAAAAGAGAGGTACACTTCACTTGGGGTAAAGGTAAACTAATAATTTCGTTATATTATTAGCCTTTCAGGGAAAGAACCTGAAGTATTTTAAGTTTTACAAAACAAGTCCTTATTTTGTTTTTTTTCTTTCCAGACATTCGCAAAATTTCATCAAATGCACATAAAGAACCCCAAACATTCCCAAAATTTCATTAAATGCTCATAAAGAACCCCAAGAAAAGCTAATCGGATACTACAATTTTGTCTTTAACCTCCAACTTCGTTACACGAATACAAAACCAGTCCCTACAAACTCATTCAAGAAAAGAAAGATTTTGAATTGTCAAGCCTTTTTACAAAGATTGAAACTTGAAGATTAGATCAACCAACTAAAAACGTATACTACACAGCTCATGAGTAAAATATTATATCATAAAACCATAAAAACCCTAAAAACCCATATCTTCATCTTCAACTTCATCTCTACGCTTGAGATTCTTTTCCGTTTCCAAACCGGAAACGCTTGGCGAATTGGTGACCCAAGAGAACAATCGGAGGAGAAACCGGTAGACAAATGATTCCCCAGAATCCGAACATATTCATGAGGAAAAAGGCCAAAGACAAATTGATAAGATTCCCTCCAATAAGAAAATCCCATCAGCGCAGCCAATAGCCCCATCGTCTCACGGAAAGTTACTTCCGATATCTCAAAGTTCTCGAGATCGATGACATCTGGTTTTCCCGATCGACCAAGTACCATCGCCCACAGAGAAATCAGCGTCGCGAGCAGGAGAATGTTGTATTTGACCGCGAATTTGGCGAAATCTTCGTCGGACGGTATCAGTCTGTAAGTGAACCCCACTTTCTTCATCGTTTTTTAACAGAGAAAGAAGCGAAATCTTAAAGAAAGTTGGGCTGAGTTTGTTGAAGAAGAAGAGGGATTTTGGAGACGACGATGAACAATTTGTTAGAGAAAATCAGAAAACCCCAATTCTGAGAAAGAAACTTTGAGATCTTTATATACTGTAATCCGGAGTTTTGTGGTTTTGTTTTGTTTGTTAACGCGATCGATCGATAGAGAGATCGAAGCTGTTGATTAATTTTAATCCAACGGTTTATAAAGAAGCTTCACGTCTGCGCATCGCTGACGTGTCATTTTTGGGTGTCGGTTTAGGCGTGTTTTTAAATCTGTTGACTTGATTTGACCCGGTCCAGCCGGATCCCCGGTTTCCTGATTCCTTGTGTTCCGGTTTGTGTAAGAGTTAGTTAGGATGGGACAATCTGATTTACGGATTGGTTTGGTTCAATTTTTATTTTTTCGGTTCTGTAAAATTTGAAAGTAAATTGGTTTGATTCTGGTTCAGTTAATTAATAGACTAATTTACATAGAAATGTTTAAATATAATTTGGTCTAATCTTAAAATTGTTTATTTGTGTGAATGTTTGGGTTATTCATGAGATCATCAAATATTTAAATTTATTTATCTAAATGTTTGAGGCGTGGCTTAGGAAAAGAAATAGTTTGTTTTGTGATATCCTTGATTAATCATTCGAATTTTTGAATCAAATTAAAAAAATATCGAATCGACGCTGGCGGTTTAACAGATAATTTGCCCAACTATAAATAATTGAATATTAAGGTTTCGATTAGCTTAGAAATTAATAACAGAATAATACATATGTGACTTTCATTGACATATATTATAAGATATAATCAAAGAATAGAAACTTCTATATATCCGATTTTATTATTAGTAATCACAAAGAGAGGAAAAAAACAGAACCCTAATAATCCATTTTCTGCATTCCCAAGTAACTCTTGAGTTTTATTCTTTAGACCATCCCTTACGTACTAGTGCGATTTGATCCTTCGTCAAACTGAATTGATTCGATCGAAGGGAACCACACATACAAAAACACTGTCAAAACTCCCGTAACCCATTATCCTTCAAGCATGGCAAATCACAGACGGTCAAAACCATGTAGTCGATCATTAATTTCTAGTTTAAACTCTTTAGAGAATTAGGTTAATAAAAGCTTCTTCTTTTATTGCTTTAGAAAACTAACTCAAAAACTAAAGCTCCCAAAACTCATAAGTGAAACCACATCTTTGGTAACTACTTATAGGGGATGATTTAGATAACTCCTAAACCTAAAGGAATTAGACAACTCCTAATTTCCTTTTTTCTAATCCTAACTCTTTTAGGAAAACTTCACTTAAAAAATAATCTAGAAGCTTGCTCTTCAAGCTTACTTCCAACATAATTGAGCATCATTATCCTCTTCGATTCCAGCTTCTATAAGGAAATAATAAAGTTTTTCTTTGTTCAAAGAGTTGTAATCTTCCTTGATGAATTCGTGCGATGAGAAAGAGAAAGAACTCTTTTTGGGATCACACTCATGTCGGGCTCGGATTATCTCTGTTTCGACTTTGACCGTCAAGCCTTTCGCATCTGGTTGTTGCTCGAGCCGATGATCAATCTTGTAAGCAAGAAGAGGGGATGGATTGTTCATCTTAGGATTTTGTTGAATTTGTTGTGATTAAGAGAGAGACAAACTTCGGCTTCTTATTTATAGTTTGATTGAAGATTGTTTCGCCTCTCTTTTTTCCTTTTCTAAATCTAATAATATTCCTTTTCTGAGACTTGCCTTTATTTTTTGGGAAATTTGGTGGCGTAGCATAACGACAAGAGGTAATTAGGTGTCGAGAAGCTAATTTTTTTATGGGGTGGAAAGTACCCTAAACCCCCTCAGTTGCTTTCTACTATAGCATATCTTTACAACGATAACGTATACGTTTTTTCGTTTTTCATTATGTCTGACATCTTTCTCTTTCATCAGTTTTAATTCAAAATCTTTTCGCTGGGTCTTTATAGTCAAGCTTCGGTCCTTGAAATTCAGTTTGAATTTCAAAACACTACTACCTCACCCAGATCCTCTCTTCTATAATTTCGGTGATTCTCCATCTTGCTTCGCCGTTCCCGACACGTTAAACCGGAGTTTGATACGGCGAGTCACTTACTTCTACCACACCCAGTCGTTATACCCAATTAGCTCCGAATACGATGGACCGATCTTGCGAACCACCGTCTTTTTTGTCCGCAGCGAAGATTGAAAGGTAAAATGTTAAGCTCTGTTTTTTTTCGTCTATTGAATGTTATATGACTTTACTCGCAGATACCCGTATATGTCGTCGTTAATTTCCAGGAGCTAGATTTCTTAATTTTCCGAAATTAGATCTCTCGTTATTCTTCCTATTTTTGGGCACATAAACGTTTGGTTCCATAGGCCATTTATCGTGTTTCACAGTTTTTGTTTTTTTGTTTTCAAACGCTTTCCACTATCATTCTCATCCGTCATCCAGATCTGCGTTTTCAGATCTGAATAGTTAACCACCGAGTATAGCATTTACAATTTAAGTAAATGGTACAAACATGGTCGTAAATGGTGCTGTGGTTATACTGAACTCTGATTTTACTCCCAACACGCGCGTACTGTCTCCCAACATCCAGATCTACGCTTTCAGATCTGAGTAGTCGACTACTGTCTATAGTCAACTACATTTGAACTACATTACTAGCTTAGTAGGCGACCATTTATTCGGTAGCTAACTATTCGTTGCTATGTGTTTGAAGGGTTATGTTGTCCCAAGTACATCCCGATCTGGTACCTGGCAAATGATGTCCTTCCGCAGATTCGCGATGCAGTCTAGAATTTTAAGATTTTCTTTCGGTAATTAACTATATACATCGTCACTAGTAATCGTCTACTCGCAACGTCTATAACCGATTCAATATAAAGCTACATATTCAGTTAGTCTACATTACTACTAGACAGGAATAGTCAACTACTCATATGAATAACAATAGTTATTTACATCACATTGGTAGTCAGTTTATAGTAGCTAACTATTTGACTTTTGTTCGTTTCAAGGGATATGTGTACTCTTCGACAATCCGAACCCACACCGTTTGCAAATAATGTGCTTCTCCAGATTAGTGATGCACTCGTTGATATTTTTGAAAGAGTTGGTCGGGAATCTGCCGAAGATGCTTGTTCATTTGCTTGTTCACTTAAATTTCTGACAGTTCCATCATCTTTTTCGTTGTTATCGATATCTGGTTCTCTTTATTTTGTAGATCTAGAGTAGTTAACTATTTTTATATGCATACTGAGTAAGTAGTAACTACATTGAATATGGTCATTAGTAATTGCCTACTCTTATCATCTATAACATATACAATAAATAACTACTCCATATTCAGTTAGTCTACATAACTACTATGCACATATAACCAATTACTAATATAATTATCGGTAGTTAACTACGTTATAACAGTAATCAGTTTACAATAGCTAACTTTTTGCCATTTTTCCTTTGTAGGGATATGTGTTCTCTTCGACAATGTGAACCCACACCGTTCGCAAATAATGTGCTTCTTCAGATTCGCAATGCACTCATTAATGTCTTTGTAAGGGTTGCTAGAGAATCTGCAGAAGATGTGTTCATTTGCTTGTTCATGTAACGTTTTAAACCAAACATTCAAGGAACCATCTCTCATCAAGGCGCTCAACCTATTTGCCTTCATTAAACGTCTCAACTTAATGAAGTGCTACCCTGAATTCTTTGAGTCAGCGAAAATGGATAACTACCAATAATCAAATTTTAGAAGTAGCTATGTAATCGAAATAGACAATTATTAATACTTACTTTTAAGTATTAGAATCAACTTTGAGATGTATGGAGAAAATAGACAACTACTAATAATCGACTTGGAGTACTACCTATCTAATCGAAATATGTTACAAACTAGTCAACATCTCTGTGTCATTCAAACGAACCTTCATTTTAAACATAGTCACCTACTAGTCGTTGTCTACTAGAAATCTGAACACAACAAACAAAAGAATTAGAATTAAAAGGGACGTCTATACTGAAGTGATAGATGACTAATTGGTATATGTCTACTTACTTTCAACTTGGTGCAACTATAGAAAGTATCGTCCATAATGTTTCACACTTTCGGAGTGAGAGAATGTTTGTCTGATGGGGGTGCAGATTTTTTATGAAAATAATTATCTACTACATATCCACATACTCTTCGCTAATGATTTTCTATGAAAATAGTCAACTATGGCTATAAACTTACCATTGTGACACCTCCCAAGACACCTGTTGCAAAGTTTTGCCGCATTCCTCAAATTTCTTCTGTGTCAGCAAACGAATTAGATCAACCACATTTCTACCACAAAATAGTCAACTATGACTAATAATAAAAAAGCTGACTATGTTACAATTACTAAATAGTTGAATACGTTACGTTACATTCATTTCCCCTTAAGATGAGATCTTTATTTTGCTTTGGTCGACCATCTGGTCAGCGTATTAATGGAGGAAGTAGTTCTGAGACACCATAACATACATGAGTTGGTACTAGGTGGAATGGTCTTTCATGTTGTAAGAAGAAGTTACCGATAACTTGTTATGTACACATCTCCCTTTTATGTTGTAAACTTCATACTCATTGTGGCCGACAACAACCATTTACATTTTAAACATAATCACCTATTAGTAGTCATCTACTATAAATATATGAACACAACAAAGAAAATAAATAGAATTGAAAAGAATGTCTATGTTGAAGTGATAGGTGACTACTTGGTATATGTCTATTTACTTTTAACTTGGTGCAACCATAGAAAATATCGTACATAATGTCTATTTCATCTGAGGCGGATGCAACTTCTTTATTAAATAGTCGTCTACTACATAACCGCATACTCTGAGCAAATATTTTTATGAAAATAATTAATTATTTTATAGAGTTATCTCATATTTTAATGATTTGAGCAAAAAGACACCATGTATAAATTTTTGAGAAAATACGAACCATAACGCTAAAAATCAGAAACTTGAATGTTTGGTTTATGGGTGTTGTGTTAGTGGCTATTTATCTGATCCACTAGAGTTCTCTCAAATTAACCTATTTGTACACGTAATACTAAACGACAACAACGTTTAAAGCTTACTAAAGTAACAATAAAGTTTACGTTGATATTGTTTCAAAAAACAAGTAACGTCTGTATCTTAGTAAGTTGGTGTGGTCCCAATCTCAGTCAGAAAAAGCGATGTCTAGATTTAGGGAGCAAGGAGTGCAATGTCATTTCCACATACTTTTTTCTGTTGACTTGTGCTATGCATTTAATTGACCGCTTTACTATAGTACCCAATTAATTTGTTCTCTTAAAAGTAATATTGATGCAAATCACCCATATTTTTTTAATTAATTAAACTTTTAGGTTTTTTTTCCGTCTGAATAGTATGTTATTGAAAAAATTTACCGGCAAAGAACCTGTTCACGCAGGAGCCGTATACAACACGCAATCTAACAGTAAGAGTTTAAAATTACCGACCCAAAAATACAAACCTAAAGAAAACAGTTACACCACGATAACTGGTTTCTTCTTCTCAAACAGCTCTCTCAACCAGCGGAGCCTCCTTGGGCGACATATGATGCCAGACGATTCCCCACTACCACACTTTTCGCAATTTCTGCAGCTGCCCTGTTTTGTTTAGGTGGCTCAAAGCTGATATCCCAGCCAATTTGATCCTTTGTGATTTCTAGGAGGCCAGCGATATGACCGGTGAAGACTGGCCATTCTCGTGGGCGATACAAAGCTTTAATGATATCCAGGGATGACCCAGCAAAAGTAATATTTTGCATCTTTAAGCTCCGCATGCTTTCCAGGGCCCATTCCCAGCTCTTAATCTTTGCATCAAAACAAGAATATACATCAGAAATGGATCTGCGGCTATGACTTACAGTATTTCCGACGTGGTCTCTTACAACCCAAGCAGCTCCTGAGATAAGAGTAGTATTCAACCATCCAAAACCGATGTTACATTTCAATCTACCCTGTTTTGGCGGCTTCCAAATCTCCTCCTCCTGACGCAATACAGGATTGAGGTCACTATTTCTTCTCTGAATCACCAACCATTGTCGCACATCATCAAAGACCTTCGTCACCGTCTCTCGAGCTCCATGTCTAATGCCTTCGAACATGATCTTATTCTTGTTTTTCCATAGGATCCATAGAATCCAGGATGGGACGAGACGAATCTCCTCCGGCACATCCTTCGAGATTGCATCTGCAGAACATAATAAACATTCTCATACACAGAGCTACTGAAACCATTCTCTGGCCAAGGGACATTGGAGAGAGCCCACACTTGTCTAGCTAGAGGGCACTCAAAAAGAATATGATTAAGAGACTCGACATCAGCAGGACACCATAAATACCCAACTCTGCAATTGTGGCCTTGTGTCTGTAGTCTCTCAGTAACAGCCAGAGCACCTTTTAAAACCTTCCACATGAATTGCTTTATCTTTGGTATCGAGTGAATCTTCCAACAACTTTCAAGGATCAGGTTAATCGATGGGGGAACATTCAGCTTGTTGGAACAACTATTTCTTTGCTCGTCGATGGATAAACTCATAGCCAGAGCTCACGGT